AGTGTTCCTTGTATGTTTACTTTCCCACGTGTCCATTTCAAAGATCACTTCCTAAACGGGGGACCAGCTGGATGTATCGGGGCAGCATATCCTTCAGGTTGGATGACCGAATATAATTTTCTAAAATTCATGGAACATTTTGTGAAGACAGTCAAATGTTCTAAGGATCATCCTATTGTTCTTTTCCTTGATAACCATGAGTCACATATCAGCTTAGATTGTATCAATTTTTGTGTGGAAAATGGTATAAATCTTCTCTCGTTCCCGCCTCACTGTTCGCACAGATTACAGCCCCTGGATAGAAGTATATACGGGCCTTTCAAGAAGTATTATAATGCAGCAGTTGACGGTTGGCTAAAGAACAATCCTGGAAAAACAATGTGCATTTATGACATAACAACCTTCGTAAATCACAGCCTTACACGAGCGCTTACTCCAGAAAATATCAAGAAAGGTTTATAAGTTTCCGGCATATATCCTTTTGACCATCACATTTTTTCAGATGATGATTTTCTACCCAGCGACGTAACAGATCGCCCCTTGCCAAATGAACTATCAACAGAAAACTTGGAGACATCATCTACTAGTGAAGACGTACTAATGAATAGTTCTCCTACCAACAGGAAAACATCAGAACCGCCAAAGGTCTTATCATCTCTGGAGTCCTCATTTTTTCCTGGTTATTTTGGTCTTTCGTGGGGATGCCTTCCTGAAAATAGCCGAATATCGGACCTCTACACCCTTGTTTTTTTCGACCACTCTCTTTCGTTTTCTTTTTATCTCTGTCATCTTTTTCAAGCTGGAGTTGACGGAAAAGGCGCTAGCGCTGGTGATAAAGGCAAGAAAAAAGCGAAAAATCGGATGGAAGAGACTGAGTGTCTTCTATGTGGAGACCTGTTTAGTAATTCTGTATCCAGAGAGGAATGGGTGCAGTGTACAGTCTGTTATAAGTGTGCTCATTATGAATGCACAGCAGGTGAAACTCGTGGTCCATATATTTGTGAAAATTGTGATTGTGACACAGACTATAAGTTTTTCGATCATAGAACAATGATTCTTATATGTTTAAATAACGTTTCAAGATTTATTTTATCGTGTAATCAATAATGAATTCATTACAATATAATTATGTTTGAATTGTCGTCTTAAAAGTTTTTTTATGGTGTAATCATTAATAAATTTATTAAGCCTACAATTATTATATGGCATTAAAATTTAGAAAATCTGGAATAATTACTGAAATTAGGCTTATACTCTAACATGCTAAATGTTATGAGAAAACTACAGTAGGCCTATTATAACATTTAGCATGATAGAGTAGGATAATTTTGGTAAATATTGTATAACAACATGCCCCACCTATTATATCAACTTACCCCGCATCCGGGGCATATTGTTACACTTGACTTTACTTCAAAAAATTTTGTTCAATATAGAATACATAATTTTGATAAAGTACATATTTATCTTTCACTTTCAGTCAGTTTCAATGTATGATTCGGGTTATTTCGCTAGATAGTGGACTTTTTCTAAAAATCGTAACAACTAGCCCCGGTCTCCCCTACTTATAAAATACACTTTATATGAGTGCTACTTTGGACTATGATATGACGTTAAGTAATCAAGTATTTTTATGAAGAGTATAACAAATATATAGTAGATGGTCTATTGTAGTAATATTTATTGGTATGTTCGCTTCCAAGGTATTAAGTATAGTATTAGGAAATCTATAACATTTGCTTTTACACAGTAACTATTGGGAAAATATACAATAAAGTTTCTTCTTTTTTTTTACTTCTGACAATCCGGCCCGGCATGGCCAGGTGGATAAGGCGCTCGACTCACAATCTGAGGGTCGCGGGTTCGAATCCGCATCCCACCAAACATGCTCGCCCTTTCAGACGTGGGGGCGTTATAATGTGACGGTCAATCCCACTATTCGTTGGTAAAAGAGTAGCCCAAGAGTCGGCGGTGGGTGGTGATGACTAGCTGCCTTCCCTCTAGTCTTACACTGCTAAATTAGGGACGGCTAGCGCAGATAGCCCTCGTGTAGCTTTGCGCGAAGTTCCAAAACAAACAAACAAACTTCTGACAATCGCTTTTAATGAAATTATAGAGTAATAGTTTACAATAATGAAACAAACATGAACAAAATATATAATTTTGTTATTCTCATAAATCATCAGAATAAAAGTTTCTTCTATTTTAATAGTAATATTATATTTCACTGTTATTTACATAAGTGTAGCTGTTGATTACACTAGTGAGGATATGGTAATAAACATTTTTACTGTACTGTATGTGATAGAGCAGTTGAACTAGGGTAATTGGAATTTTTTTACAAAATCGAAATTAGAAAACTGACTCGTATTTGAAATTAAGAGGTAATTATTTTGTAGATGTAAATATCCTACAGAATAGAAAGAGATAAATATTATATCAGTAAATTTATTTTGCTTATATAATGAAAGACTACATAAGCAAAACTAATTCGCAAAGTTTTATCACCTCTTAAAAGTATTCTTGATTTCACAAATCTTAAAATAGCTTCAATTAGAAAATTAAGCCAAATATAGCAGTGATGATATATTATCCAGGTATTAGGCAAACAGAAGCAGTATCATGAAAAAAAGATGTTCCAGCTAAAGCTGTTATTCAGAAATTTAGAAAAGCAGAATGACCAGAAAAATAATTAAACGAAAAGATCTCGATAGTTTGACAAAAATAGCTCTAGCTTTTTTCAAAATTATTTTCCATCTGCAGCTACTACATCAATGTGATTTTAAAATTGTTTGATGTCAATCTTCAACTTTCTAACACGTGATGTACATTTCACATTGATTGATTTAATCACTTGCGTGGATAACGAAATAGTAATGTATGTAAATACAATAAACAATTGAAATACTGATGAATCCATGTCAATAGATAGTGACATTTCTAAAAAACTCAAAGAAATAGTCCCCCAGTGACACAGCCGTAAGTCTGACGGCTTGTAACGCTAACAAACGGGTTTCGATACCTGTGGTATGCACAGCACATATAGCCCATGTGTAGCTTCGTGTTTAATTACAAACAAACAAGTAAAATAAACTCAAAAAATAGTATCCCTCTAATGCATTCATTTGCACCAAAACTACGTTATATTTATAAGAATTAATTAAAAGTAATGCTATGATATATTGAAACTAGAACGCAATCACTGTAAAAGTCAATATTGAAACTAACACGTTCAGTTGATACTTAAAGATGATCACTTAAACAGTTTGAAATGTATTGTTCTTACCTTTTTGCAATCAAAACACCTATTTGAAAAGTTCACACTATGGAACTTTTCCCCAAATATCACAGAAAGCACATAGAGACTAACCTTGATAAGACCTGTAGAATTGTCAACTTTTGGAAATGGACATTCGTCAATTATGGTGACATTTTTGTCACTTATTGAGCTGTTCACCATCGCCACTATAGCTACGTTTAAAGTCACTCGAAGGGCATGTAAGTAAAAAAATCCACAAAATCCCATCCAGGTAAACACATATCGTGCTGGGATAAAATGTAAATATCCTACAGAATAGAAAGAGATAAATATTTTATTTCAAAATTCCTGTATTTTTATTGCGTGGATTTAAATCTAATCATTCCTATAAATTTGACTAGGATGTTGTATATAGATATATATAATATGATGTATTTTCTTTTTTATATTATTGCTTGAAGAGGTAAGCATGGATGAAGCTAGATCAAAACGACTAGTTTTTGGAAAGCAATAAAGTTAGATTTTATTTAAGTTATAATGCTTATTTTTTAGCGTTTGTAATCTAAAAATTGCAATAGACGTACTCGTTCATAACAAATAATGAGAAGCCTACTTGGTTAACAAGATATTTTAACATGAAAATACGGTAGTTCACATTAGATTACAAACCTCACACCCTGACCACTTGAAAACTGTATTTTCTAATAATATCAACTTTTTTTATCTCACATAAATAATTAAGGAACGCGATATCATATGCATAAAAATAGATGAATAAACAAATGAATGAATTTTCCTTGAGAAATAACAAAATTTTAAAGCAGGATCTAGCTGAAAATCTCAAACTTCATTTATTTACAAACACACATAGAATTATGAAATATCTATTTCGCTGTTATTTATATATGTGTAGCAGTTGATTACACTAATGAGAATGTAGTAATAAAACTTTTTATTATACTATATGTGATACAGTAGTTGAACTAGAACAATTATAATTTTTATAAGATCGATAAGATAAAACTGAATCGTATTTGTAATTAAGATGTATTTTTTGTAGCTGAATATTTATTTCAAACTTTATATTTTTAATACCGACCTCTACAAAGGAAAATGTTTGTCAAGAAGATAACCCAAATTAATTATACATTTGCAGCTCATGTTGTGTATATTATCTTTCTTTCTTTCATATATTCTAAAACATAAAAGATAGTATTGAAAGAAGGTATCTAATATCCCATACGTTTCAATAGGATAGGCAACATTCCACTCATAAATTATTTCTAAACAGTTGTGTCTTAATATCTTAAGGACATAGTTATCTATAATCCTAAAATGTTTTGAACAATTTTCGACATAAACTAACGATAACCAGCTTAAATTAAAATAAAAACAGACTCATTGACCAACAAACCTTTATAGCTTGATTCCTCAGAACAAAGCTCTTGCTCCTCACTTGGGAAACTTTCTTCTTCTTCATCAGTTATTTCCTCATTCTGAGAAAGAGACATAGCAAGTTTGTCGTGTCTGTTATCCTTTATTAGTCAATCAGGATGAATTTTAACTTATACATGAATTACGCCCCTAGGTACAGGTATTATATGTACAGATTTATCTTTTGTATAATAAAGTTTGCGTATAGACTATCTTATGAACTTTATCTTGGTTATTTATATATGCGTTGAAATTTAGACAGAGAATATGTATATCTTAAATATATCTGACAATGTAGCTGGTTTACATTCATTGACTTCTTCAGACAGTGCCAAAACCCCCAGAATCGCGAAAATAGTATCACTGTTTTCATAGAAATTGCCGAGCAACTTTCTACACCTGTAATTCCACAAATAATCCACTTATTCATGAGCTCCTTTATCACAGATCCAAATAAATAAATATCCAAGGTCAGATAACAAGTAAGTCACCCTTATCAAGAGCTTAAATCATCACCTAGATCAAAGTATCGTCAGTGTATTGAAAGGGTATTTATGTATAAATACGCCTCTGGTGATGCGATAAGTGACGTTTACCAAAGAATCGTTTTGTGAACAATAAATGCAATCAAACTATGGAAATCGGTAAATAGCACGAAATACTATGAGATAAAATTAATGGACCTAGCCCTGGAAAGGATAATAAGAATTGTGAAACAATTTTCATCATTTGTGCGCAAATTCTCACGTTTTATTATATAGCATTTAAAATAACAATAGTCAAGGAGGGAGGAAGAAGCCTCGATTGTACCTGACCTTCCCAGGTCGTCCACTACGACCTTAGCACCGGTTTAGACACACACACAAGCGGGGCCACACGTGTTACCTCAGGCGAGTGTCTTAACGGGGTTCATTTAAAGGTACAGATCTCTCTTGGAGTAGCTATAGAAATAAGTAGGGATGACAGAGGAGTTTGATCGGTACACTGGGGCCTCTGTAAATCGTGAGAGTGTCTTTAAGTCTTTTAGCGGAGCACGAATTTTACGCTAATGAGTAAAATTCTGTAATCTGATTTAATAGTAGAATTTTATCATAATCTCTTATTGTACACCCTTGGACCTTTTGAGAACTCTTAATTTCAATATCCCTCAGTCATTGTGTTTCTGCAAAAACTCCCAAACTAAGACATAATGAGCAGTTGCGAAATAATTCCAGGTTCATGGCTCGATGCATTAATTTTGTCTTAAGAATACAATTAATAACATTTTCATTTATAGTTTGTAAGTTATAGTGTAGCTACTGACAAAAAGTATAACTATAATTTATTAATTCTTAATATATCTGAATATACTGAACGGTAATGGGTATGGCTACTGTCATTTCTACTATCCAATCAGAAAGAACCAGGAAAAACGAGGTCAAATCAACGAGACCATATCATAAGACATTATATAACAACTATTGATAAAAATCAGTCAGTTATAGAATTTAAGGGTTGGACAAAATTCTCTTTCATCGTAAGGAGTACTTTAGAGAATCTTAACCATGTAAGAATGATAATCTAATAGTTAAAAATATATAAATAAATTATATGAAGAAACCTATATTTGATATATGTATTTGAGGAGTGTGTGGTATCAATACTGTTAAGTTTAGTTTATTTTCTGAATAGTTCATCGATCAAGTTTTAAAAGAAAGTGTTTTTTTTATCTTTATCAATTCGGCGAGATGAACAAAAGAAACGTGAAGACTATTATTGGAATGGACTAGACAACATCTTATATAAAAAAAAATCAAAATTTTAGAAAGGCGATAAGAATGTATTTGGATATCTATCTAACTGTTTTACGGTTTCTGTTCCAATGAAATACAATTATGATATTTAAATCAAAATTTCAGAATTCATCAATAAATTCCTGAGGTAATGTCAATAAAACTTAATTTGATCAACCATTTTCCCGTAAAAGTCATAAGTCTGATAAACGTTAAAATGAATGTTAGCACATACAGAGGGTTAGAATCCCGTTTATTCTAGAATTTCGAGCCTGAAATGGTTCACTTAAAAGAAAATTGTTAGATGAAATTCATTGTATATTTTAATCGATGGTAGAAATTCTGTCTGGTATTGGATTTCAGACCAATCGTATATAACAGTATTTCTAACAATGACAACATTCATTTTGATGTCTAATACAGGAGTTTATCCAAATATGCTGCTATGAATATGGTCACTGCAAGTAATACTTTAATAGGACTTACTTTCCAACTTCGGCAAAGTATCTTTCACAATAATGATAATAATCAAGCAACATTTTTTATATTTTTCTGTCGTATAAGGCGGGCCCTCTAGTTTTAAAGAAATATTTTTTTCATCACAAGTTTTGATCTTACAGCATTCTTTTCAAACTAGCTTTCTAATAATATGTCCTCTTCATTACTCAACAGAATTGATTTAACAAAGAAACAATCGAGATAATGTAAAACAAAAGTCCAGAATGTCAAACATATGTGGTTTTGTTTTATGACAATTCTAGAAAACGTTTAGCTTATTCTAAACAGTTTTTTCTCATAAAACATGTTAATTTTTGACAAATTACACTCCAAAAACTGTGTATAATTATTTAATTTTCTAGGTACAATATTTATAAGCATAAAAATGTCAGTAGTTTCTGTTTTCTGTCTAGTTATTTGAATTTCTATTTCTTGACAGCAACAGACACACCATCATAATTTAATTCAAAATGCAGAATATATATATATATATGAAGTATTTTACCCAAAAGTTTAACTGCGTAAGCCATAAAACTGTTGTAAATGAAATAGAATTAGTGAAAGTATTATTCAGCAATGGAGATAAACTCTGAATAAAAAGTCGGAAGAAACCAGATACATTCGACAGTGATGAAGCACTGAATAAAAAAACTCCCTATGAATTAAACATATTTCACGACAATGATGATTTGAGGAAACACAGCTGGCTATGAAACTGTAAAACGGATTTGGCTATAAGAGTCAAACAACTTCTTTTCAAAAATATCATTTGGTATGACTTACATTCTAAAGTATTAATGCTGATTTTGAAGAAAACGTATAAGTTAGAAAATGGGTATTTGAATAATTTTTAGATAAACCAATGAATTAAAACAATCTATGAAAAGTTTAGGAAAGTCTACGTTCTCTCAGTGTTTTAGAAGTAACATTAAATGTATCCGTTTTAACAGGAAAGCACTCGATTTTCCAAACTACTGAATGAAAGTTGTATAATTTACTGTGTTTGAATTAAATGCACTCGAAACTTAAACAGTGATACAAAAATAATTAATAATTAGTCTCAATGATTGATCAAACATAAGTATAAACGTTCAATAAATAAATATCATCTACTGTCTAAATCAATTTTTAAGTTAATTTTGATTTTACTTTTATTTCAATTACGTAGTTTTTAATGCACTGAAATACATACTTTCTATAATGATTAATTGTATAAACAAGAAATGACAGGTACTTAAGTTAAATGTTCCTAACTTTAAGTATTAGTATTTACCAATATTTGATTCGACTGCCTTAGACATTCATGTAAATTCAACTGCTTTATCATCGTTAAAAACGTTTTACATTTATAAACAAACAAAGCAACTTAAATTTTATTTTCAGTTGGTTTATCTGATCTGTCAGGAAAAAAAAACAACACTTTAAGTGCTCTATAAGTGTGTGTGAAGCAGGCAAGTAAACGGTAAATGAAATTATATACATACACCCATATATTACTGAACAATTGACCAGTATTAAAAATGTATTTCATAAATATATATACATATCTATTTATCATAACTGCAGGCTTTTCTTTGTTGAATTACAAGCAATGCTACTAGAGAGTTATCTGCACTAGCAGTATCTAATTTTGAAGTGACAGACTAGAGAGAAGCTACTTAATCAACACTGTTATCTCTTGGGCTACTCATTATCAAGCCCCCCAGTGGCACAGCGGTATCTCTGCGGACTTACAACGCTA